ATCACAGGGGGGAAGGGGGGGATACAAGTGTCTTTCTCAACCCCCATCCCATTCCCTCCCCAGCATGACCGACTGGGAGACGGCCCCCGCCGTCACCGAGACCCCCGACATCAAACTCTTCGGCAAATGGAGCACCGACGACGTGCAGATCAACGACATCTCCCTCCAGGTATTTTTTTGGGGGGGTAGGGGGGCACAAAGGGAGTGTAACGGGGGTTCCCCCATCCCACCCCTCGACGGGAGGACTCTGACGTCATACCCCACCAGGATTACATCGCCGTAAAGGAAAAATACGCCAAGTACCTGCCCCACAGCGCCGGGCGTTACGCGGCCAAGCGTTTTCGTAAAGCCCAATGCCCCATCGTCGAGCGCCTCACCAATTCCATGATGATGCACGGCCGGAACAATGGCAAGAAATTAATGACCGTGCGCATCGTTAAGCACGCCTTCGAGATCATCCATCTGCTCACCGGGGAGGTGAGAAGGGTCCTGGGGGGCTCTTTTGGGGTCCTGGGGGGCTGTTTTTGGGGTCCTGGGATGGGGTTTGGGCACTGGAGGAGGGTTTTTAAGTCCTAGGAGATTGGTTTTAGGGCGCCGGGGGGTGGTTTGGGCACTGGGGGTGTTGGTTTTTGGGCGCTGGGGGGATGTTTTTGGGTGCCAGAGGGTGGGTTTGGGTGTTTTTGGGTGCTGGGAAGACTTTTTTGGGTGCAGGGGGGCTGATTTCTCTCCTGTCCTGCGGCAGAACCCCCTTCAAGTCCTGGTTAATGCCATCATTAACTCCGGACCCCGCGAGGACTCGACCCGCATCGGTCGCGCCGGTACCGTCCGTAGACAGGCCGTGGATGTGTCCCCCCTGCGCCGCGTCAACCAGGTACCTCCCCTCTTCATCCCTAACCCCCGAGGGGCTGCCCACCACCCTGTCCCCACGTCCCCAACGTCCTTTTTTCTGTCCCCTCCTCGCCCCAGGCCATCTGGCTGCTGTGTACCGGAGCTCGCGAAGCCGCTTTCCGTAACATCAAAACCATCGCCGAGTGTTTGGCCGACGAACTCATCAACGCCGCCAAGGTGAGGAGGGGGATGGAACTGTCACCGCTGTCCCCTTCTCTGACGAGTTGGGGACGCAACGGACACCCCCCCC